GAGCTATAAGTTTATATAATAAACTTTATTTTTAGGGGGGATAACTGGCTATTTTGGTTTGACGGCTTCTTCATGATAAACTTCATATCGAATGTGCACTTCAATGATGTGGTATTTTTTTGGCGTCCATTTGTTGTTTATGTCATAATTCTAAACAATCTATTGTTCATATTAAGTTGTCGGATATCTAGCTTTGGAGATGGTTAACATATCAATTTGGTACCTTTTTGTCTTTAGATTCTCTAGTTGCTTTTTGAGATGCCTACGTACATAAGCCATTTTCTCAGCAGTTGCACAATCTATGGATTTTTGTTGGTATTTCTACTATTTCGGCTATTTGGAAAGCTTGAAATAAGTTTATTTTTTAGGGTCACCCAATCTATTTCGTCGTCTTTGCATGTCTATCAATTCTGGGATTGTTCAAGGTGAGAAGTTTATTCATCGTTATTCTTAAGGTTTTGACACTCGTATCATTTCTTCTTTGGGGATCCAGCCTATCCGTCGCAAGGCGCCAACTATTCTTCCTGTGCTTTGGTCTTCTCCTTGGTTTCCTTGGATTAAACTTAATACAGATGGTTTGACATGCCCCGATCCCGATATTCCTCGAATACCAAGAAAGGCACGTGCTGACCGACACCCGAGGGTGATGAAAGCCATTTATTGAGTGCAGTTGCTGAAAATAAAAGATAACTAAGACTTATAAATATAAAAGAATAAAGAATAAACATTTAAGGAACGTGTTCAGAGCATACAACTAATTAAAACACTAAAGGAAATAATATAAAATAAAAGGAAAATGGGTTAGGGGGATTGGACTAGGCTCACCACGGGCCTAAGGCTCGAGTGACTTGGAACCGGCCTAAATGGCCGACGCATCGGAGAAGAACACCGGAGCTTCTACAGCTTCGGCCGACCACAAACCACAACCCTAGACTCCGATCTAGGTACCAAAACGAAGCACAAGGCGAGATGAGTGTTTTTATACCTTTCTTTCGCCGTAGAACGGCCGGAGATGGCCGGAAATTCCCTCGACACCCACGGTTCGCTGGAGATGGGTATGCCTTCACCCGAGCCAATCTCGTCCTAAAACCTCAACAATAACGCAATAAAACCCAATTAAAACTCATTCTCGTATGAATTTAGGACGAAAGAGAGGGAAAACGAGGCTTACCTAACCGAAGAAAAGAAAAATCTCACCGGAGTTCGTTTCCAGGTTTATGTCCTCGAAGCACGGGAAAGAGGGAGAGAGATAAGGGATCCGAGAGGGAGAGAATGGATAGACAGAAAGAGGAAGGTGATGGGGTCACGGGGGGGGGGGCAGAGAGAGAAATGAGAGGACCACGTGGCAGCTTAAGGAAGAAAAGGAATCCAAATTTTAGATCCTGATTAGGTATTCAAAAAGGACTAAAATGATATATTAATAACATTTTGGGGGTAATTACATAAATATATTTTTATAAATGGGGGTGGGTGTTACAATCTACCCCCCTTATAAAAATTTCATCCCCGAAATTTACAACCTTAAGCAAATAAAAAACGGATACTGACTCCTCATCAGGTCTTCTGTTTCCCACGTTGCTAGCAACGTGGTTCCTCCACAGCACCTTCACTAACGGGATAACTTTGTTCCTCAACACTTTATCCTGCTGATCAAGAATACTACTGGTTCTTCAACATAGCTAACATCCTGGCTTACTTCTAGCGGCTATAGCTGAATGATATGAGAGGGATTTGATACATATTTCCGAAGCATAGAAACATGGAAAATGTTGTGAATCAGAGACAACTCCGATGGCAACTCCAATCTATAGGCAACTGCATCAATTCTCTCTGTAATCTGATAGGGACCAACGTATCGAGGACTCAACTTTCCTCACTTACCAAAACGAACAACACCTTTCCAGGGAGACAACTTCAAGAATACATAGTCACCAATCTTATACTCACGATCCCTGGAATGTTTGTCCGCGATGCTTTTCTGTCGATCTTGTGCTGCCTTTAGGTTTCTCTTTATCAGCTAAATGTTTGCATTGGTAGTGTCCACAATCTCTGGTCCCAGCAACACTCGTTCGCCAGCCTCTGCCCAACATAACGGTGTCCGACACACTCTCCCATACAGAGTTTCATAAGGTGCCATACCAATACTCGAATGATAGCTGTTATTGTATGCAAACTCAACCAACGGTAGATAGCTATCCCAACTACCATTCCACTGGAGAACATACACTCTCAACATGTCCTCCAATGTCTGAATTGTCCTCTCAGACTAACCATCAGTCTGTGGATGATAGGCAGTACTGAACAGCAACTGAGTACCCATGGCAGTATTGTCATATCCCGGCCCGGGGTCCACCACATCCCGGGCCCGCTCCACCACTGTAGCACGATATTGTCCGCTTTGGGCCCCGACTACACCCTCACGATTTTGTTTCTAGGAACTCACACGAGAACTTCCCAGTGGGTCACCCATAATGGGATTGCTCTCGCGCGCTACTCGTTTAACTTCGGAGTTCTAATGGAACCCGAAGCCAGTGAGCACCCAAAAGGCCTCATGCTAGGTAGGGATGCGAATATACATATAAGCATCACTCCACTAGGTGATGTGGGATCTTACAATCCACCCCCCTTAGGGGCCCGACGTCATCGTTGGCACACCACGACCAGGGTTAGGCTCTGATACCAAATTGTCACATCCCAGCCCGGGGTCCACCACATCCCGGGTCCGTTCCACCACCGTAGCACGATATTGTCCGCTTTGGGCCCCGACTACGCCCTCACGGTTTTATTTCTAGGAACTCACACAAGAACTTCCCAGTGGGTCACCCATAATGGGATTGCTCTCGCGCGTTACTCGCTTAACTTCGGAGTTCCGATGGAACCCGAAGCCAGTGAGCTCCCAAAAGGCCTTATGTTAGGTAGGGATGAGAATATATATATAAGGATCACTCCCTTGGGCGATGTGGGATCTTACATGGTTTGTCCAAAGTAAATCCCGGTCAATTTCTTGGTGGCTTCTGCCAAGGTATTGGTCATCACAACTCTTTCTTTGCATAATTATCAGCAATTATTATTGGTGTAGAGTTTGTATTAGCGAGGTTGGCATTGCCCTTGGTTGGAAAATGACTATTCTAGTGTTATTTCTGCTCTTCAATCGACTAATTTTGATCCTCATTGGCCTCTTTGCACACAATAGTCTATTTGTTTAGATCGCATTCAGAAGATGACTTTCTACACTTCTCACATATATCACGAAGGAAATGTTGTTGCGGACAATTTTGCTAATATGAGCATGTCTTCTCCAACTTTAGTATAGGATGATTCCCCTCCGTTGGCGGCTCGTGCTGCTTTGTTTTTAAACTATGCTAGCTTTCCTAGCTACCGCTTCTCAAATTAATTTACATATTGGCATACAAGTTTGACTCACTTTCTTGTGTTTTTTTCTTAACCTTGTGATGTTGCTTGATCTGTTTTGCAGGTTTAGATTTTTAGGTTTGGTTTTAGAGAGGTTAAGTTTCATGTCCCTTCTCTTTTCCTTGTATCTTTATTGTTTGCGTTTCTAGAAGGGTAAGGTTTATGTCCCCCCTTATTTTTCATGTATTTTTTTTATCCATTTTCTTGTATTATGAGGGGTTAGGTTTATGTCCCCCTAACTAGGTGTAACTTCTTTTTCGTTAGCAATAAAACTCCCCTCGTATCATCGAGGTTTTATCAACAAAAAAAAATTGGCGAATCACGGTTATTCACCATTTTCAAGCTTGGAGGAGGCTAGTTAGGAATTGCACTCTACTTGTGGCCACGATCAAGCAGATTCATAGTTACAAAGTATTGAACTCAAGACTTCCCATTTTTTGCTTAGAGAGCTGTTGTTCGAACTTTTCCATTAAGCCACTTGCCATGATTATGTATAATAAACTGAAAGACAATCACACGGCGTCTAAAGCATCTCAAACTACATTCAACATTTTTTATAAAAATCACGAAAAAGGTGCAAAAAATATTGGATTATTTCTCAATATTTGTGTAATACAATGGTATTCTTTTATATATTTGCACAAAAGGAATGTAGAATTAGATTAAGCCACACAATGGATCATATCTCAATTTATGCTTGTTATCCTTGCACAAAAATCATGCTACTCTTTTATGTAAATCCAAACCCAAGCCTAAAAACAGAATCCGACGCGAAAATTTTTCAGAAGGTTACCCATTCCAGTACTTTGAAGTTCACCGGTGCACTCGAGTTGGCATTAATAGTAGCATCACATTTAATTTGTCTTCGGGCCTGGGGTGTCCCTCTTTGTAGGGCACATGCTTTAGTTTGGGGTGTACAAATATGAAGTGATCACAAACAGTATACTATTTACATTCGGGCAAAGCCCAATCTAAATGAATGTTGAGGATCAGTCTGGAGTTAGTTGATAGTTACAATCAGAGAGAACTGAGACACAAAGTGAGAAGAAGAGAAGGGGAAGTCCTTGAAAGGGTACCGAATGTCAGTACGCTGTAGCGAGGAGCCGGAGATGCTTGGTGGCCAGAAGGATTGATAAAGCTTCTTCATCCTTTCCCCTTACGTCTCCGCCTTAACAGAATAAAGGAGAGAGCTGGAACCAATTCCGGTTCGCTATATGCCTATATGTTTACTCTCATTGACCAGAATCATAATTCGGAGTTTAGTAATGAGACACTTACAAAAACAGAAGTGCATGCATAGGCTGTAAATTTACATTCATCATACGCTATGAAGGGTTGCAGTGATTGTAATGCTATTTACATTTCATCATATGGTTGACAAATCGCAGAAGTGCATGCATAGGCTGCAAAGTTACATGAGCCAAGACATGTTATAATCGGCCTATTCAACGTTCTGTCAGTTTTTGAAAACTGGTGGAATGCAGATAAGAAGTGATAAGAGCGACTGCTTTTCAAAAAATGGTGTGGAATGCAGATACGAATGTAAGGTTTCTGGAGTAAAAGGAGTTGACATTGTCACGCTCTTAATGCTAAAGACTCCCTGGCATTCTGAAGAATGGCTTTGTCATAAGGATTCCTGAACCTAATACTTGTGAAGTTTTTCCCTGGACGGGCAAAAGATTAGGCATTGCATTCTGCATGCGGTTGAACAACACGTTGGAACTCTGGATTATTTCTTCCAGTTTATCCGCAAAAGAAGAAACCAAAATGAAAATTGTTCTATTTTGAATTGGGCTAAAAGATTCTTGAATAAGAGCGGAATACGCGTAATATTTCCAGTCATTTGAATTGTAAATTGATCAGAGAGGTCAGTTGTTAATAAGCTTAGGGACATATGGTCCCTCCCTCTCAAACACACACACGAACGCATCAACCCATCATTTGTTTCTCTTATTATATGTTCAATGCTCATCGATCATCGAGGAACTTACCCACTCATCAGTTCTGATGTTGAAGCATACACAATATATATGCCAGATCACAAACACCACCTACTCATACACAATTGGATGTTTATTAGATTTCATATGAAGCGACCTAATAGGGACAAATCGTTCAGAAAGTAGCAGAAGTCACAGAAAAGCATTAGTACAAACCTGCCGCACCAACTGGAGAATGACGAACAGAATTGTGCTAACAACTAAATTTTCAGAAAGAGTAGGCTGCAAAATCGATTAAAATAAATCAATTTAAGTTGCAGAGGCATAGATAATTTATGCTATAAGTAATTTATGTGTCTCAAGAAATCACACTTGATTTAATTTTTTTTTTTTTAAAGTTGCCGGGTGCAAGGACCTACCTCCAAGCTAGGTTTACGTAAGATCCCGGACTTGGCAGCAACTGAAAAAGAGTACAGGAACTCAAAAATGTAACCAACAAATTAATTTCATAAGTCATCGAACAGGAAAACAAAAATAGTCTGTAACTTGGATAAGAATCAATCGAAATTCACAACAATATTTTGGTAGCTTACAGAGTGACGCGCATACTAAATAAGAAGCTTCAGTACTGATGAGTCCAAACAGAAGAATTAGGAAAAGGGGATGATTCCTTTGGCCTGTACAACAAGGGCATTGATATCATTAACTACTGACGACTGCAATACAACCAACGGGAATATCAGTTGCAACCATTGCAGGCCAATTTAAAAGGAAACTACATAGCTTGAACTGACTTGTATGGAGACTACTAGTAGACAAAGAATTGTTATTTACCTATACAGTTCCTAAAAGCTGGACAATGGTGATCGAGACCCTTTATGGATGCCTTGCAGCTCCTGCAATATCGTACCCTCGTACCCAAACCAGAACCCTGAGAAAGACGGAGCATGATCAGCATCAAGATTACAATACGCGTGATACTGGAGCAATGTATTTTTAGCGTATTATATTGTCAACTGTCAATCTGTAACGCGCATTCAAATAAGAATCAACAGTTCAATGGCTCAAGTTATGCATTTGACAAACATGATAACTCTTTCTAGTAAAAACCCTGAACTGAAAACTAGACAAAGAATTGTTAATTACCTATACAGTTCCCAAAAGCTCGACAATGGTGGTCGAGACCCTTTATGTATGCCTTGCAGCTCCTGCAATATCGTACCCTCGTACCCAAACCAGAACCCTGAGAAAGACAGAGCATGATCAGCATCGAGATTACAATACGTGTGATACTGGAGCAATGTATTTTTAGCGTATTATATTGTCAACTGTCAATCTGTAACGCACATTCAAACAAGAATCAATGGTTCAACGGCTCAAGTTTTGCATTTGACAAACATGATAACTCTTTCTAGTAAAAACCCAAAATCGCTCATCGTTCTAATAATCTAATAGTGAAAAAAAATGGTGAGAACTGAAACCTAGTACCTCAGTTGATTGATGACATAAACCACTTGTTAAAACCTCCAACTCCTGCACAAGTAGAAAGTTCATTAACAAAATGCATTACACTATGAAACAACTTATTAGCTACGGCATTTTTTAGTTTCGACATAAATAGTATCCTAATCCCCTCAAAATTATGTTTTGCATCAAAATAGATGGAACCCAAGTTCAAAATCTCCAACCTTTTCATGATTATCAACTTGAGAAACTGAACCTGCCACAACTTGCTCTGAAGAGGCAAACCTATTTGTTACAAAGCCAGGGTCACTTGTAATTATACTGCCAATAAGAACCCAGTTTTCACTGTTAATAGTAGTTCAAATATTCTGAGTCCATAATGTATCACATATATTGCGGAGTTTAACGGATGGATGTGCGCTCGAGAATTTAGGCGTATCTAACGGGTTTATCTGAACCACTTAAAATGCAATGTATTACATTGACATTGATGCAAGTACTCAGTCAAGTTTAGATGGTTTTGGAGAGCAAATAAGCAAAGTGGAGCTTGAAAAAGTACCCAAAAAGGTCCATAATGATTATTATGACTCCAATATGTTTATTTCCTTAAGGCACCGAGAGTTCTAGAGATTTCATTAACTTAATTGTCAAATCAATTATTCCCTCATTTATTCTTGGCATAATTCATTGTCATTCGCAAAATGGTTTTACAGCCTTTGCAGGGGATTTGTTCCAACCCACTCCAACCTTGCTCGTCGCCATTTAACTTTGGACTCCTCTTGTGTTCTTTGTAATGGCCCCGAGGAATCGGTCATCCATATTGTGAGATTTTTTTCCCTTTGCTAAATGCGCCTGGCTGTCTTCCCCTCTTGGCATGCCGATGCGTGATCTCCATCCCCCTAACCTCCTGGATTGGCTGGCTCCAATCATAACGACTTTTCCCTCAAATAAATTGGATTTGGTGTTTATGATCCCTTGGAGTTTATGAGGAGGAAATATCACTAAACCGTAGTATTAAATGGTAAAATACACGTACTTAATAAAAAGGAAGGAGATCAATTCCGGAAGGACACCGTTTCTATTTAAAATTCTCAAATAAAGGTCATTAGGTCGTTATGTCAAATAAATTCTTCTTCGTTTCAAGTCACAATTAGCAACGACGAGGATGCACGGCCATATCAAGCGGGGTTCGAAGGCAAACGTTGGGAGTACAAAATGGGATCCGGTCAAAGGAATTTTTGGCGTGCCATAAAATGCATTAGGCAATATGCACAGACTCGAAGCACATAAATGCCCTTACGAGAAATGCACTGGTCAGAGGCTTTTTTCTTCAATTCATTGGGTCCTTTTAAAATTGAAATCCAGAGCGACAGTTTTCCTCCTCTGTTCTCTACTTCTCCTGATGCTACTCTACACTACACCTGCAACCTTCAGTTTTTTTTTTTCATTCTTAATCTCTTCTCTATGTCTATGGTTATTAATTCTTAAATTCCTGAATTTTGGGCATGTAGTAGTTTCCCCTAATATCTCAATACTACTAAAAGTTTGTTCTTTATTTCTGTTGATGCACAAAATCAGCGAGAACTTTGGTACAACAGAAAGTGTTAAGTTTGTGACATTCGCTAGATTGCTCCGGTCACTAATGTGGATAAGTAAGTAAATGGATAGGGATAGGGAAGCAAACACAAGATGTACGTGGTTCACCCAGATTGACTACGTCTACGGAGTAGAGGAGTTCTCATTAATTGTGAAGGGTTTACACAAGTACATAGGTTCAAGCTCTCCTTTAGTGAGTACTAGTGAATGATTTAGTACAAATGACATTAGGAAATATTGTGAGAGAATGATCTTTATTTATAGAAGAGAGTTTATAGTTTCATTCTGATATAGACACGTGTCGTGTTGTGATTGGCTTCTGATGTTAACACGTGTCGCGCTATGATTGACTTCTGATGTTAACACGTGTCGCGCTATGATTGACTTCTGATGTCGATACATGTCGCGCTGTGATTGGCCTCCTGGTTGGAGGGAAACTCTTATGGGTCCTTGACGGTATAACGTTGACCGGTACTCAATAATTTCGGGATTGGTCATGTATGGTACAAACAATTTCTAATTCAATTATCATTCTAACAAATATGTTTCTACCAATATATATATTACAAACACTAAGTCAAAACATCTCAATTCCGCCCATTGTTTCTGGTTCCCTCCTAATGCTAAGATTATTCAATTTTGTCTCTCACAAAAAGAGAGAACAACTCTAAGTAAAAAAGTCTTAGTCAAAACACCTTAGTGCCGCCCATTCTATATTGACCAAGTGAGAGATATTGCTAGCACATTTAAATCAATCACCCTATCATCCGTTTCTAGATTTATCAGTGTGGATACTTTTAAAGGCTCAACACTTGGGTAGTTTCATGTGATCAATCATGAAGAGAAAGACCGTGAGCACGAGGAGGCTTTAACAAAGCGGCACGTGCGTGGCTAAGGATTCAAGTAAGTAGTCTCTTAGTCCTTTTTTCTTTGTCGCATTATTAGTTACAACCAATTAGATATATAATTAGGATAACATATTTATGCTATTTATTTATTTTCCGCGGCGTATTTAATTATTCGAATACAACTTATTCCAATAACATATCTGAAACCCAACTTTAGTTAACCTGTCTTGGATGGGGCAGATTATCAAACATACGAAAGCCTTGCTTCTGACAATTACTGAAGTTACATGTACTGGAGTTTTTTAGTGAAAATTTCCTTTTATCTCACTTGTCGCACATTGGTCAAGTTGAAAACTTTCTCACGCTTTATAACATCAAGTCTCTCTTACAAAATGATTGAAGAGGTGGACCATGAGAGAAAAATTTGGCTTGATTATGCCTTAAGTTTGGGCTTGGGGGTGTGATAATTATATATATATATAACAAAAATATATTTAATTGTCAAAAGATAAGTCTTGGGCTCGGGCTTTAATATTAAATTCAATAATTAAGTTATTAAATTAATTTTGTCATTTATTATTACGATTTAATGATATTTCTTGAGGTGTGTTATTCACACACTTCTTTTTACTTCTCATACACCTTTTATTAATTTATGTCTGTTGATCTTCTTCATTTCATCCGATCTGACGGTCGAAAATTAGAAGGGTGTGTGAGAAGTAAAAAGAGGTGTGTGGATATCACACCCCTATTTCTTTTCACTTGTAAGTGGGGGGTTTTAAATTTGGTTCTCGCCAAAGGTGAATTTGAATCACATTATTGTTAGCTCATTGTGAAGTTAGGCCCACCCCTTATTCTTAATGTAGATAATATCGTTTGTTAGAAGAAGAAAAAGTTAATAAATTAATTTCAAATTTAATTAATCTTGTTATTCTTAAAAGACTCAAACTTTCGGATGATGTTTGCGTGGAAAAACGTCGAGAAAAAGATGAAATTGTACATTCTTGTTGAATGAACAGTCACCTTCGAATCTTATACCTATTGCGAACAATATATGCAGATTTTAAATACACGCATATGCGTCTAATTCTACACCCAGAAAATCATTCTTAATACACTCTTATCATTCTGAGACAACCATAGACATTCACCAGAAACTAAGTTTTCCGATGCTATAATTATGGTGAAGCAGATGTCCATCGAATTATAAGCACAGAGTAGGGACAAAATTCTATATTAAGAACATTGTGGTATGCAAACATCGATCATTGTTTTACTTTTTTTATATTAATTTTATTTATTCATAATATATCAATTTACTGAATTCTGTTTATTATTTATTAGCATATTCAAATTTACTTCTATGATATAAATTTGTATCGATAAATATCCTATTTTCATTGAAGGGTAAATCGCAAAAATGGTCCCTGAGATTTGCATAACTCATCATTTTGGTCCCTGAGATTCCAAATCAATAAAAGTGGTCCCTGAGATTGTCCACCATCCATCATTTTGATCATTCCGTTAAAAACTCCGTTAAGTGTCCCGGAGCTCTTGGCTAGAAGTTTGGGCAATTTTCAAAGCTTCGTAACTCAATCGTTTCTTAACCAAATTCGACCCATAATATATCAAAATGAAGATAGGAAAGTGTAGAATAAGATTATATCTAATTCAAAGCCCAATGGTTGCCGGATATTGCCGAAAAATAGCCCCAAAGTTGACTGGTCCGAGTGAAAACTTGAAAATTTGTCAGAAACTGAGTAAACTTTAAACGTTCATAATTTATTCAATACTCAACAAAATCAAGTGATTCAAAAACAAAAATCATATTTCTCGACGAGAAGAAGAGAATTGTATCTTTTTAGACGGCTAACTCGCCGTGGTTTGGCCAGAAAACGGCTTCAAAATGGCTAACTCGAGACCAAGACAACCACTTTTGAGCCGTTTTCCGACCAAAACACAGAGAGTTAGCCGTTAAAAAAGCTATCATTCTCTTTGTTTCGTCAAGAAGTATGATTTTTGTTTTTGAATCACTTGATTTCGTTGAGTATCGAAGAAGTTATGAACGTTTAAAATTTAACCAGTTTCTGATGAGTTTTGAAGTTTTCACTCAGACCAGTAAACTTTGAGGTTATTTTCCAGAAATCTCTAGCAACCATTGGGCTTTGAAATAGGTATAAACTTATTCTACACTTTCCTATCTTCATTTTGATATATTATGGGTTGAATTTGATTAAGAAATGATTGAGTTAGGAAGCTTTGAAAATTGCCTAAACTTTCAGCCAAGAACTCCGGGACACTTAACGGAATGACCAAAATGATGGATGGTGGATAATCTCAGGGACCACTTTTATCAATTTGGAATCTCAGAGACCAAAGTGATGAATTATGTAAATCTCAAGGACCATTTTAGCGATTTACCATTCGTTGAATGTTGGCGATATTTGTGTCTGGTCTGGGGAATCCTCCTACTTTCACTGTAGACTTATATTATCCCTTTAATATGACAGTCGTATCTGCCTTCTGTAAGCCACTTTCGATCTAATGAAACCTTGATCGAATTTCACCAAAAAAAAATATAAAAAATGGAAGTACTTCTGGTCATCCGTTATGGAGGACTAGAGATCCAAGAAGGAAAGGAAAAGAATATGAGAAATGAAAGCTTTACCAACCGTCGGATTTGTTATTTATAATTTGTTCATTTGGATAGGTAACACACGTTGTCCCAAAAGCTTTTTAGTTCTTTGCAGTTGCAGCACTCAGCTAGCACATCAAATTATCAAGATATCTTTCAGACCGAAAAAGGATCCTTTTTATAGGGGTCTGAGGACCCTGTGATTATAATCGTTAATCGTACATTATGAGATCAGAAATTATTTGAAATTTAAAATATAAATAGTATCTAACAAAAATTAACCGCATGATATAAAATGAATGATCATGATTATGGAATCACTCGGATCCGATAAAAAAGGATCCGGCGCTTTCAGACCGACCTTCCTTTTCAATAATTTATTATAAACTTAATATCATATTCCAACAATCGTAATCAAAGATGATGCCGGTTGCATTGTTTTCAATTTCCAGTACATAACCATTATTTTCTTTTAATATTTTAGTGCAAATTGGCTTTATTTTATGTTTAATCAACTCGTTTGTTTACTTTAGTTTATAGTGTCGTGTAGCTACATGAATTATTTAATGTGCTTGGCACATTGCGTTGGATGCTTACAAAACATCGCTATTTTAAGACCCACTTTAGTTACACGGTCTAGTAATAACGCTTTTGTGTATTGTTACACGGTTTGCAATGAGAAAACTAAACGAGATTTCCCTGTCACGTCTTAAATTGCATACTGTTAAGTTACAACATGTCACGTTTCATTGATTTTGAATAGATATTAAGAAATTCTTCCACTCTAGTTTTTCTTATGGGACACATCCAAATTCTTATATATCAAAATCCCAATTATTATTGTACAAAAG